GATTAGTTCTTATATCTGTCTGTTTAACATGCGTGTTCGGCCATGTCCCCTTTAGGGCAAAATGCTTTGGGGCAGTAGAAGAAGCACTATTCTTTAAAGTTGGCATGGCTAGAAGTAGCCTAGCCTGTGGGGATTTAGGTGGAATCTATACCCTTTTTTTATTTCTAAAATCCTGTTTAAGTATCGGATGGTGTCGTTCCACAATAGCTTGACCCTGTGGATTGTAAGGAATTTCAGGAACATAATTAATATTCCATAAATTGCAAAATTCTCTACGTCGTGCTCAGATACATAGGGCCACTGTCAGCTTGTAATTGTAATGGGGGAGGAGTTCTAGAAAGGGAATGCATAGAGAGCTATTTGACAAAGCCAGGTTCCAGATGTGACACAATGACATTTTCCTGGAGCCCCCCCCACCCCCGCCCAGGGGTCCACGTCACGCTTGGGGCCACGCTCTGCAGCTAGCCAGGGAGGGGGGAGGAGTCAGGGTTAGGAGCAGCACCGTGCGAGTTTACTGCATCACGTGTCTCTAGATACCCGCCGGCAAAGAAGGCCCCAGACGCTTACACCCTGGCTCCCGACGTCAAGCTGATGTGAGGATCACTGTATGCACGGGAGCTGGAGTACTGTGTAAAATGTGCCTTATAGAGGCCAGGTCCTCGTGAGCCCCTCTAACTTCTGCCAGAGTCCGATCGTTTATGTCAGACCAACGGCAAGCACGAAACTAAACAGCAGACAAACTTTTAAAATTCACAGTGGTCATTAACATCTAAAGGTTTAAACCTAAGGCTATTTACTTATGATCTGGGATCTTCCAAATTCAGGGCAATTTTAATTCTGAGCCCGAGAAGGCTCTCCTACTATGTCAGGATACTTAGAAGTACCCAAGAAAGAATCACGGAAAATCCCGAAGGAGAAAACAGTTGTGCATACCAGCCAAAGGAAACAAAATCGTGAACTTTATCACAAGTATAATAGCTCCGTGGAAGAAGAACGTGCTGGAAGGTTCTAGTTTACTACAGTTCACAGGCAGTCTGATGTAATGGATTCTCAGGCCATACCATAACTAAGTTTAGGTGAAAACTTCAGAATCAGAAAAACCCAGTTTTAGGGCAGGATTCATTGCAGAGATGCCGAACCTTTCTTCCGTTTCTGTCTGCAAGCTACTCACGTCCCACTTGTTCCTACTTCCGTTTGCTGGACTCCCTTCTCGAGGGCCTCACCCCAAATGTTTCCATCCCCCCACTCCACCCCTCCACATCCACAGCCCTCTGCAGCGTCCCATTCTCCATGCCTCTCCGTCCTTCATGTGCTAATTCATATGCGAAGTCAGTTCATGTGGAACCTCGCGAGGTCTTCCTTCAGGGTAACCCCTTATGGGTGAGGATATGCACACTGCGGCTCCGAAGCTACCCATCATGACTGGGAGATTCTGTCCTCCTCAGTCCACCCAAATAAGCTGCCACCTGAATTTAGACAGACCGAGGAATTTGGTTTTTGAAGACCCATTTCTGCCTCTCAGATTGGAAGAAGCAGAGTTGGCAGAACAGGGCCTCCCTGGGAGCTTGGAGGGCTCTGAGCTCTGCCCTGCTGAGGCCTGCCAAGACGGGTATGGCAGGGACATTTTCTTTTCTGATCTTCCTGAGAGGGCTCAGTCAAGTAATGCATTGCTGTAGCCTATCTTGCAAAATAATTGATAGGGATTTGACACCCCCTCTTTTTTTTTCTGATACAGAGTTTCTCTATGTAGCTTTAGTTATCCTGCTTGTAGCTGGCTCTGTAGACCAGGCTGAACTCCAACTCACAGAGACCCATCTGCCTCTGCCTCCCTAATGCTGGGATTAAAGGCATGCACCACCACACCTGACTGATTTTATCCCCCGTTTCAAGGGCTGTTTTTGCATCAGTGCCCACGTGTTTCCGGTTTCAACACAAGGACTGAATTCACAGTCACTTCTGTACAGAGCCGCGGAACCTTGGCTCTGAGCGTCTCCTCCTTTGGGTCTTAACGAACATCTCAGTAACTGTCTAAAATGCTTCGCCTCAAGGATTGAGAAGGAACCATACTATTTGACTCTCACTGTCCCCGACTGCTTGGGTGAGAGACTGAACTCCTACCCCCTGCTTTTATTTATTTATTTATTTTTTGGTTTTTTGAGACAGGGTTTCTCTGTGGTTTTGGAGCCTGTCCTGGAACTAGCTCTTGTAGACCAGGTTGGTCTCGAACTCACAGAGATCTGCCTGCCTCTGCCTCCCAAGTGCTGGGATTAAAGGCGTGCGCCACCACCGCCCCCGCTTTTATTTAGAGACAAATTTTCCTACCTTCTCTGAGAGCTGAGCCCCACACTGGGTGCCAGCTGCAGGGTTATGCCTTCCTTTTTTGAAGGAATGTTCTGGTCCCCTTAGTGCTTATCTAGTGCATAAGGGCCTCCGTGCTGCCCAGGCATGCCCACCAAGTGCTTCTTAACAACCAGCACCTTGCCACACCCCTCTGTGGCCCTGACCTGCTGGAGGTCAGAAGGGACCCACAGAAAGGCCAGTGGCCCTGATGCGGGGCCAGGGCAAGGTTGCAAGGGAAGTTGAGCTTAACCCCTTCCAAGGCTGCTTCTACCTGGCATATGCCCACGCAACCCAGGGAGTTAGCAGGGGGCGAGCTGAGATACCAGATGGGCTTCTGAAGACTAGGAGACCAGCCCCAGGCCTTGGGGCCATTGGTGGGCCCATGAGTGCAGTGGGTGTGGGGGGGGGGGAGCGTGCTGGTACCATAGCAGCATCAGATGGAGAGAGAAGAGATGGCTCACCATGGCAACGGCATGGTCCGCAGAAGGAACACAGCACACTCACTCATGTATCCCCCCTGTTGTGGATTCTACACATGTGAGCGAGCACACAGTGCCGTTTGCGTGGTATGGGGGTAGTTCTCACACATACATACAGGGCCACATGTATGCAAGGCACACACATGTTCAAGGCACACACACGCAGGAATGCCCAGAAACCCTGCATGTCAAGGCCACGGGAAGATCATTGATTCAGGATATGGAACTGATCTTTTGAGAGTAGCTGCCTTCTGTGGATTTTTAGCTCCTGTTTACCCTGCCATGTCGTTACCACACTCTGCTTTGGTGGCTGCCCCGTCCCCTTGTTCCTTAGCCCTGCCTGGCCTCTACTCCAGTTCACAAGGACTCTCTCATCTCTGGGTGTAGAGTGGGAAGTACTCACGGGCTCCCAAGTAGAAGTTCTAGCCTGTGTTTGTAGGCCTCTTGGCCCTCAGGTTCACTCTTCCTCCAGGCAGCCCTCCCAGATGCCTTGTCAATCCGCCAAAATCTGCCAAAATCCCTGGCAGAAGCAGAGAGCCCTCCCCTTTGCTGAGCCGTGGTTCTCCCAAGTGCTAAGGGTTTAATGAGAACCCATGGATAGAGAAGGTCTTTGGGGATAGAGGGTGACTCAGAGTCTGTGTGGTAAGGAAGGGCAGGCCCGGGAGGCAGAGCCGTCCAGCGGACACACTGGGCTGGCCCCAGAAGCCAGGTGTAGTCACCACAGCTGGTGCCCCCTGCCGTAGTCTGCTAAGGAGCCCCAGTTTGGGAGCCCAACAGTGAGGGGTTGGGGAGTCATGTTCTGCTGTCCTAAACACCTCGGTTTCCCCATCTGAATGTGGTGGTTTATTGGCATCAGGGGTAAAGAAGGCTCCTCCAGTTGGAACCAGCACCACGGGACTTGGGGGACAAGCAGAGGTTTGAATACGGGGCGCTCTACTGCCCAGCTGAAGCAGGGACACTCTCAGTGCTAGCAGGCTCCCTGCACCTTCGAGAACCAGCTCCTTGATCTCCTTGCCTGCCTGGGCCCTTGGTGTGCTTCAGCCCCAAAGAGGGCCGAGTGGTGGAGTGGGTCCAGCAGGTGGAGACACGAGTGCAGGTGCAGCAGGTGGAGACACGAGTGCAGCAGGTGGAGACACGAGTGCAGATCCAGCAGGTGGAGACACGAGTGCAGGTGCAGCAGGTGGAGACACGAGTGCAGATCCAGCGGGTGGAGACACGAGTGCAGGTCCAGCAGGTGGAGACACAAGTGCAGCAGGTGGAGACACGAGTGCAGGTGCAGCAGGTGGAGACACGAGTGCAGCAGGTGGAGACACGAGTGCAGGTGCAGCAGGTGGAGACACGAGTGCAGCAGGTGGAGACACGAGTGCAGCAGGTGGAGACACGAGTGCAGGTGCAGCAGGTGGAGACACGAGTACAGGTGCAGCAGGTGGAGACACTAGTGCAGGTCCAGCAGGTGGAGACACGAGTGCAGGTGCAGCAGGTGGAGACATGAGTGCAGCAGGTGGAGACACGAGTGCAGCAGGTGGAGACACGAGTGCAGGTGCAGCAGGTGGAGACACGAGTGCAGGTGCAGCAGGTGGAGACACGAGTGCAGGTGCAGCAGGTGGAGACACGAGTGCAGGTCCAGCAGGTGGAGACACGAGTGCAGGTGCAGCAGGTGGAGACACGAGTGCAGATCCAGCAGGTGGAGACACGAGTGCGGGTCCAGCAGGTAGAGACATGAGTGCAGATCTTATTTTTTTAAATAAAATTTCTGTGTGTGCAGATGTTTTTGCCTGAGTGCGCGTCTGTGTACCATGTGTGTGCCTGCTGCCAGTGAAATCCAGATGGGGCATTGGATCCCCTAGGACTGGAGTTGGGGTGGTTCCAAGCCACCATGTAGGTGGCTAGGGTATTGAACCAGGTCCTCTGGAAGAGCAGTCAGCGCTCTTAACTGCTGAGCCATCTCTCCAGCCCCAATAGTGAGTCTTCCTATGACCTAAGACCCTGCTGTAGCAGAGAGGTGTCCATGAACCTTGGAACTGGGAGCTGAGCTCACCCTGGCCACTTCGCTAGGACAGTAGGCTCTGGCTAACAAGGCCATTCCTCCGTCCCTTAGTGTGAGGCCTTGTCCAGGTGCAGGGTTGGAGCATGGGGTCACGTGCTGAGCTGAAAGGAGGCGTGTGTTCTACTTCCTTGCAGACGGTGCCCCGCTCAGTGAGCTGTCCTGGTCGTCGTCCCTTGCAGTGGTTGCTGTGTCCTTCTCGGGGCTCTTCACTGTCATCGTCCTCATGCTGGCTTGCCTGTGCTGTAAGAAGGGCGGCATTGGGTTCAAGGTGAGGAGGGCGCAGGACCCACCCACCACCCGGCTCCCTTTCATCCAGGGGCATCCCTGGGATGGTATCCCATAGCCCCTCTTCTGGGGGATCCTGGGACCCTATCCCCTGCCCTCCATTTAGGGACCCCCCTTTGTAGACATGGCCCCACACTGTCGCATTCCAGCATTCGGGCCTGTCTGTGTCCAGGGAGGCTGAAGTGACCATAAGGAGCCTTTAAGGGCTCTCAACAGTGCTCTCTCTGGCAGCGAGGAGACTCTCAGTGAGTCACAGGGAAAGCAAAGCCACACAGACCCCCTTCCCCAGAACCCAGACCATCATCTGGGAGCTCCCTAACTTGGGCATCTTCTGCTCAGAGAGCATCCATCAGGATCCAGAGACAAGGGCACCTGTTTGTAGCTCCAGCCGCCATCTTGTCTGTGGCGTGTCCCCTGAAGGCCTCCCCAGGACTAGACTCCTCAGCCAGACGCCACAGCTGAGGCCTCCACTCCAGCGACAGAGGCCCAGGGGCATCCCTCATCTGTCCAGCTCTGTGGCCACTCCTGTCACCCTGTGGCTCTCAACAAGGAAGACAGGACAGAAAGCACAGAGCTGACCCCCAGAGTAGGCGCCACCCCGGCCTGTGAGGGCTACAGCCTTGCCTGTCAGCACACGGAGGCCTGGCCAGAGCCCTTGGCATTCCCGCACCCACGCTGGGCAGGTCAGGAGGTGGGGTTTCCACACTGCAGAGGTCAAGGCAGAAGGAAGGCTTGTGTATTGGGGGACACCTCCTACTGGGTACCCTGCACTAAATGCTGTTACCCCTTTGTAGCACAGGCCCCCAGCCAAGCAGGGGAGTTGAGTACTTGAATGGCAGCGTGGTGGCTCCCAGAGGCTGCAGGTCTGCACTGCCCTGGTGCCCCCTACCCCAGGGGACAGTCTCCTGACCACAGACTGGACAATCAAGGAGAATTGCCTTCCTAGAGGACCTTGTGGGGGTGGGAATGGGAACCCAGGGAGCGGCTTTGGTGGCCATTGTGTAGTAAGCCCCTCCTGGGGCACTGAGAACAAGGCCCCACACAAGGGCTAGCGGCAGCCCCTCCTACCCGTGCCCTTCTCACCTCCTCGGGAACATGGTGCCCAGAACATTCCAGCACCAGTGCAGAATCACCGTCTCCTGCGTCCACAGCGGGCTCCCTGCCGGAGGTGTTCTGGGCAGGGGCTGGCAGCCCCTATGCTCACTCTGTGTTACCTGATTGCCCGCTGTGCTGGGGGAGCCCAGCTGGCTTGGCTGGATCTCCAGCAAGGGAAGGTAATGGCTGGAGCCAGAACAAACGCAGAGGGGCAAGTGGTCATCTCAGGCTTGGGTGTGTGGGACCAGAGGAAATTCTAAGGAGGTCTTCTAGGCTCTGGGGAGGGAGAGCTGCCACCCAAAGCGCCGACCTGGGCTTGCCACCAGAAACATAGCAAGACAAATGACCTAGAAAAAGAAGAGGTCCCCAGGGTATGTTTGTCTGCTTGTCCACAGGATGTGACCTGGAGTGGGTAACAGGCTCTAGTCAGTGCCCGGCCCTCAACCCTCAGATCCTCAGTTCCCCACCTGGGCAGGGCTGCGGCCCAGTGCCGGGGACAGGCTGGCCTTGTTCCGCTCTATCCCTGTTTTGGTTTTGGTTTTGTTTGTTTGTGGTTCTCGGCAAGTGTTCTGCCACTAATCCTGTCCTTGCTTGAAACTAGGCTGCGGCCCATCCTAGACTAACCCTGTTTGGACCTTGCTCCAGACGCAGTGGGGGTGGGGTGATCTCTGTTCTTCAGAATAGCAGCCTGTCCTCAGAGTAGCCTCCGGGGTACCCAACAGCAGGCTTTTAGGGGATCTGGGGCACTGGTGGTGGTAAGGGTGGTACCGTGGGGTGAGGCAGGTAGTAGAGACAGGGATGGTGAACGTGTCCCTGGGTCCCTTGCTCCCTGTGACAGCTAGGGTAGGAGCATTAGTTACTTGAACAGGTGTGCAGAGGCCATCAGACAGAAGCACGCACCTGGCCTAGCTCTGTGTTAGTCCTGTTGAACTCCCAGAAATGAGCCTTTACGCCCTGTCCCGCCACCCCTGACCCGCTGTGGTGCCTGATCGCCCCCCTGTGCTGGTCCAACCTGCAGGAGTTTGAGAATGCTGAGGGGGACGAGTATGTGGCCGACTTCTCGGAGCAGGGCTCCCCGGCCGCAGCTGCGCAGAACGGCCCGGATGTGTATGTCTTGCCCCTCACGGAGGTCTCCTTGCCCATGGCCAAGCAGCCGGGTCGCTCAGGTAAGTGGACCTGTCTCCCTCCCCCCCATTGTGTCTTGGAGTCCACAGGCTGTGGAAGCCTGAGAACTCAGTTCTGGCAGTGGATACGGTGGGGGATGGGGACACAAGGGGTGTATGCGGTCGAGGCCTCCTTGGCAGCATCTCAGGCTGGCTGTGTTAGATCCAGATCCCCTTCTGGATCTGGTGGTCAGCTGTCAGCAGGCTTGAGAGTAGCCTTGTGCCTGTCATTTCTCACCCAAGGGACTGCTATGCGAGGGGACAGTAACTGGGGGCAGGTGGCCCAGCACTCTAGTTCTGGGATTATTTGCTTTTCTCTGCTGTTTCCCGGATACTTACCCTAGACTCCTGCTCCCTCGTGCCCAACCCTAGAGGGACATAGCCTCATTGTGCCTGCTGGATGGGGACTGCCCACACAGCAAAGGGCACATGAACAACAGGAGGGGTCTGGTCCCACCTAGAGGGCTAGTGTAGGCATGGCCCCATCCTATGGCCTCTTTGCCCTCTGCCTGCCTCTCCCATTTGCCTTCCTCCCAGAGTCTCTCCCCCTAGGCTGGCCCCTCCCTCCTCCAAGCTCTAGAGGTGACAGGTAAATGGGGTTCTAGAACCCCAGTTCTGTCCTGGTCAAGGCGTGGTCTCTTGGGACTATGGCTACCTCTACAGCAGTCAGCTCTCGGGCTTTTCGAGCCGGAAGTTTCAGCCAAGGGCTGTCCCTTGCTGTCCATCTGGTGGCTCCAGGGATACTGAGATGGGATTTAAGCAGAGAGTGCTGCTGGCCCCAAGGTCTCATTACTGTATGTGACAAGTGGGTCACTCTCCCCACCTCCACCCTGGGCCAGCCCCCCAGATTCTTTCCATCAGGGGCCCAGCCTCCATCAAGGGCTAGGGAGCCAACGGAGACTTAGACCCTCCGGCTACCAGCCTGGCCCAAGGCTGCATGCTCAGTGTCCCATCCCATTGAGTCTCACGGGGGAGAGCTCAAAAGTCAGACAGGATGCAGCATGGAGGGCCTGAACACATTTACCTGCTGATTCGGAGGCCCGCAGCCATCCCTAGCATCTCCTAAGAGGCAGGCAGGCTTGGCCACGCAGGGGCCTGGACCTTCCCAGAGGCCTTGGTGTCGCCTAACTGTAGACACTGCTAGGAGTGAGTGGGGAGCCAGAGGCTGGCATGAAGTATTGCCACCCCTGCACTGGGCCTGGAGAGACCCCACAGATCCTAGCTGGCCCCACTCCTGGGAGAGAGAGGACAGGGGTGGACAGGGGCCCAGGAGAGGTCATGCTTTCTCCATTGTTCAGCTTTGTGGTTTGGCGGGGGCATCTTCTCTCAAGTTGGGGGAAGGCTAGAGTGAGGATGGGTGAAGCCGCCTGAGCCTTCACCCCTGCCTCTATCTCCTAACGTGCAAACATTCTTCCGCCCCCGTGGTTGTCCTGGTATCCATTGTCCGGACCCTGAACCTGCCCAGGGATAACCAAGGTCCTAGAGAGCCCCAGGGTGGAAGGCAGGCATCCAGAAAGACTGGGGTCAGTGCGCTAGTCCCGGGACACAGGGCCCAGTGAGACTCTCCCATGAATTGGGCATGAAGCCGACATTCCCTGAGGAATGTCCCTGAGGGCTGCCCACTTTTCTTGGGTCCTCCCAACAGCTCCAATGCTGGCCTTCTGGGCTATTGGCGTGGGAGCAGAATTCAGGGAATCTGAGGGGGCATGAGTGGGTACAATGAGCCCTGGCCCTTTCCTTGCTGCCCACACTGACCCTTCTTCTCCACTGACTTCACTCAGCCTGGCCTGCAGGGAGAATAGGCCCAGTGTGTCCCGTACAGGGCTGTGCCAAGCAGCCCCCAACAAAGGCGCCTTTGGTGTGGCTGGTGTTTGGATGCCAGCCTGTGGCAGGGGTGGGGGGTGGGCCACTCTGGTGTCCTCCCGGACCTCAGTACCAGCTTCTTGCCTCACCCAAAACTGCCTTCCAGGCCCTGCCGTCTGGGCTTGACTTATCCCGGTGGCTCTGAGTACCCTTCCCCGGGATTGGTCAGAAGTATGCCTGGATGCGGATTGAGATCTATGACTCTGCTCATAGCAATCACTGCAGAGCCCGAGAGACACCGGCCCTCGATGGCAACCTGCAAATGCGGCCTCCAAGTTTGCAGAGCCTCCCTAACTGGGGGCTTGGGGTAGTTCCCGGGGCTCCGGACAGCCTGGTAAGGAGAGGTAGCAGTGGCTAAGTAGTAGTTCCTGAGTCTCCCATTCTAATATAGTGCAACTTCTCAAGTCCACGGACCTGGGCCGGCACAGCCTCCTGTACCTAAAGGAGATTGGCCACGGCTGGTTTGGGAAGGTAAGTGTAACTCAGGGTGGTGGGAACAGCATGGTGTGGGCTTGCTTCTCCTGGGAGTCCCCTGGGGAGGGGCTATTCTCACACACACCCCTAACTGGACTGTGCACCCAAGTACTCCTTCCTCACTGTGAACCCCAAAGAGTGGGAAAAGTGGGAGACTTGAGGTGGACCTGGGCTGAGTGTCCCAGCCAGAGGTTTCGGTGGAACCCTGGCTGCATCTGAGGCACTAGGAGTCAAATGGCCTTTCCTATGGAGACTGGAAGGGGCCCCTGTGATGCCGGTCCCATCTGGCAGGTGTTCTTGGGGGAGGTCCACTCGGGTGTCAGCGGCACGCAGGTGGTGGTGAAGGAGCTGAAGGCCAGCGCCAGTGTGCAGGAGCAGATGCAGTTCCTGGAGGAGGCACAGCCCTACAGGTGGGTGGGCGTTGGGGACCAGCACGGTGGGAGAACTGGGCGGTCGTGGGAAGGGGAGAGTTGTTGGCTTGTTCCCCTTCCTGCCTTCTAACTCGAATGTCTGGGGCTCTTCCAGGGCCCTGCAGCACGGCAACCTGCTTCAGTGTCTGGCCCAGTGTGCTGAGGTGACCCCCTACCTGCTGGTTATGGAGTTCTGTCCGTTGGTGAGTGGCAGTCCGTGGGAGGCAGTTGTCCTGAAGGAAAGTGGGAGGCCTTTTTGAGCAGGGCTCCTCTCCCGTTCTGTCAAAGTGCTCTGTCTAGTAGCTCCAGCCCTGCACTCTCTGAGGAGGCCTGCTTAGCAAGGATGAGCCTCCAACTGCAGCAGGGGCAACCCTGTCGGGGCTTGGTAGTTCAGCATGAGAGCCAGCCACTGGGCTCACACAGATCCTGGGGTTTTCTCTTTACCCTCAGGCCCTGGGTCTTCTCCTTGCCCTTGGGTCCCTTTATGTGCAGTTTTGTGCAAGCTGAGGCTGCTGTCTTGAGGCCGCTGTGGCGGAGTTGGGATATAGGCTCTGCTGAAATGGCTGTGAGTGCTCGGGATACCAGCTGATGCTCAGGCCACCAGACCCTGGTTCTCTCAGGGGTGGGTTGCCGTGTACTGGTGGTGACCGACTGCTAGCAGGTCACTGTGTGCTCTCTCGGCAGGGGGACCTCAAAGGTTACCTTCGGAGCTGCCGGGTGACAGAGTCCATGGCCCCTGATCCCCTGACCTTGCAGCGCATGGCGTGTGAGGTGGCCTGTGGGGTCTTGCATCTACATCGTCACAATTACGTACACAGGTGAGGGCTAGTGAGACCACACAGACCATGGTCACCAAGCCCTGGTCCCCCAGGCCTCATGAGCTGAAAAGGTCATCTACATAACATCCAATGGCCACTCTGTAAGGACTTTTATAATTCTTAAAACTGTGAAAACTAGCTGGGCGTGGTGACTCACACTAATCCCAGCACTCCGGAGGCAGAGGTAGGCGGATCTCTATGAGTTTAAGTCCAGTCTGATCTACAGACTGCGTTTCAAGACAGCCGGGGCTGAGTAGAGAAGACCCTGCCTCAAAAAAAAAAAAAAATGAGTAACAGTGGAAAAGCCTGGAGTTTGAAACTCACTTTGTAGACAATTAAATGAAGGAATCCGTATTGTCTCCTATCACGGTCAGTCACACTTGGGCCTCACCTCGTAAAGGGAGTGGCTGGACCCGCCCTGCAGTGGGAGGGGTGGCTCTGCCCTGCCTCTGGCCAGGCTGCCCAGCCTCCCATGAGCCGGGGGACACGTGCTGGAAGAAGTGGCGATGGACGAGTGGCCTTGCCAGCCCCGACGCTGCACAGGCCGTCCTCCCCAACAATATCCTGGTGCTGAGTGATGACTCAGCTGACTCCAGCATCAGTGATTTTGTTGAAGAGGGCAGCTGCCAGCCTCCTGCCCCGCCCCGCCCTTGCCCCGCCCACTCCCCGGCCCGGTCCCGCCCCCGTCTCCTGCCCCGCGCCATGTCCCGCCCCTGCCCCACCTCCTGTCTAGCCCCCCGGCCCCGTCCAAATGCAGGGACCCAGGCCTCCCCGCCCTCAGCTGTCCCCTGGCATAGTCCACCTAGGGTCGAGGCAGACCAGGATGGCTCCATCTTTACCCAGAGACCCTCTGCATTGCAGCAGTGTGGCCGAGGCAGGCACATCCCATACCACTCTGTTCTCCTGTGCCTCGAACACTCACATGGCCTCCTGACCAGCAAGAGGATAAAAGCTGGCATCCCAGGCTTGCCACCGAGTTGGAGGAAGTCCTGGTTGGCTGCTTTGTGGCCCAGCCTGTTCTAGACCCGAGTTCCACTTCCGTGTAACAGGGCAGGCCTACACTCTAGAACATGGGCTCTGACAGTTGCAGGACCCGCTGTGACACTCTAGGCCTCGAGTTCCCTGTGAATTCTAACCTCCTGAGGATTCGGGTGATGGTGTAGTGGGTTTGGAAGGGTGGTGGTCCTGGAAGGGCACTACAGACACACAGAACCAGGAAAAGGGTAGAAGGGGCTGAGTTCTACTGTTGGTCAGGCAGCAACTTGCTGGGGGTCCTTGAGCCTCTTTGAGCATTATGTTTTCATGTGCATTGCCACGTTCAAAGTGCCGTCCACGCAGGCCTCCCAAAATAGCCAGTGTGGGGTATAAAGTCAGAGCTTGAGCACAAGCCGGTGGCTCCTCAGACATTCCTTCCTGCCCGGAGCCAACCACACAGCTGTGGGTAAAGGACCCGCAGTGCTGGACACCCCCAGGCCGGCGGGCTTTGCTGGCTTGGCTGACGTTGCCTCCCACCCTGCAGCGACCTGGCCCTGAGGAACTGCCTGCTAACAGCTGACCTGACGGTGAAGGTCGGCGACTATGGTTTGTCACACTGCAAATACCGGGTAAGTGAGGGCAGATGGAGCCTGCGAGCAGGGGTGGCCGCCAAGCGGAGTTAACCCCATCCCGTCCCTGTCCCTGGGCGTTGCAGGAAGACTACCTCGTGACTGCCGACCAGCTGTGGGTTCCTCTGCGCTGGATTGCGCCAGAGCTGGTGGACGAGGTGCATGGCAACCTGCTGGTGGTCGACCAGACCAAGGCCAGCAATGTGTGGTGAGTGCAGGCCTGGCTGCAGGGGGTGGGGGCCTGAGATGCCGCCTGCCCGGATGCTTCAACACTCCCCTTCCTTCTCTGGCTAGGGACAGGCTGGAACCCAGGGAAAGCATACTCACGTCTGCCACCATGTGGCCTTGTGAGGTCACTCAGGGACTACTAGTTCCCGGTGGGTTCCTGAGGCGGCCGGGGCAGTCAAGGATGTGGGGCCTTCAAGACAGGACCAACAGACACTCACCAATACCGGGGCCAAGGTGCATGTTAGGTTAGAGACCCATCATGAGATACTGTCGTAGGCCCTGTGTCCTTACGGGATACAGGGCCTTAACTTGCACCTGTGCCCCTAGAGGGAGCAGCTACGGGGGGGGGGGGGGGGGGGGGGGACTGGCCTGAAGGCAAGTGTTCAGGGATCCTGCGCAGCTGTGCTCAGCCTGACCTACTGTGGCTACCCTTGCAGGTCCCTGGGTGTGACCATCTGGGAGCTCTTCGAGTTGGGTGCGCAGCCGTATCCCCAGCACTCGGACCGGCAGGTGCTGGCTTACGCCGTCCGAGAGCAGCAGCTTAAGCTGCCCAAGCCCCAGCTGCAGCTGAGTCTATCTGATCGCTGGTGAGGACCCCACCCCCCTGAACAGGCAGGAAGAGGGGCTACAGCTTGCGGCTGGTTGGTCCACCTCTCCATGGCTTCTGGGTCTCTGTAGCCTAAACAGGCAGGGAGATACCGTACCCCAGACCCCTTCCCGGGCTGCTAGGTCCGCCTTGGGAGATTGCCTTAACTGCCCCCAAAGCACCCCGCGCATGGGGGACCCGAGTATCCCAGGAGGGCAGGTTATACTTCTGGCCAGTGTGCCCGTGGATGTGGCCAGGGCCACCTATGAAGGCCTCCCGGCAGGTACGAAGTGATGCAATTCTGCTGGCTGCAGCCGGAGCAGAGGCCCACGGCTGAAGAGGTTCATCTACTGCTGTCTTACTTGTGCGCCAAGGGCACCACGGAGTTGGAGGAGGAGTTTGAGCGGCGCTGGCGCTCCCTGCGGCCCAGCGGCAGCACGGGCCTGGGGTCAGGTTCCACTGGCGCGGCAGCTGCCGCCGCGGAGCTCGCCGCTGCCTCGTCTTTCCCGCTGCTGGAGCAGTTCACCAGTGACGGCTTCCACGTGGACGGTGACGACGTGCTGACAGTAACCGAGACAAGCCACGGCCTCAACTTCGAGTACAAGTGGGAGGCGGGCTGTGGCGCGGAGGCGTTCCCACCCCCAGGGGGCGGCGTTTCGAGCCCAGACTCCGCGGCGCGCCTGCAGGAGTTGTGTGCACCCGACAGCTCACCCCCGGGAGTGGTGCCTGTGCTCAGCGCCCACAGCCCCTCGGTGGGTAGCGAGTACTTCATCCGCCTTGAAGGGGCAGTACCTGCTGCTGGCCATGACCCGGACTGTGCTGGCTGTGCTCCCAGTCCCGAAGCTGGCACTGACCAGGATAACAACTCCGAGGACAGCACCGCCACTTCTCTCGTTATGGAGCCACTGCTGGGCCACGCACCTCCCTCTGGGGGCCTGTGGGGCTCCTGTGACCACCATTCGTGTAGGAGGCAAGAACCGCCCAGCCACTCACGCTCACCCTCTCCTGGGACCCCGATGTTGCCGACTGAAGACATAGACTGGGGTGTGGCTACCTTCTGCCCACCCTTCTTTGATGAGCCATTGAGTGCCTCTCCCTCTGGGAGTCCTGAGGCCCAGCCATCCCCCAGCGACGAGGAGCTGGAGGAGGAGAAGGCCGGGAGGGCTGCTCACCGCGGACACTGGAGCTCCAATGTTTCAGCCAACAATAACAGCGGCAGCCGAGACCCAGAATCTTGGGATCCCGGCTATGTGAGCAGCTTCACAGACAGCTACAGGGACGACTGTTCCAGCCTAGAGCAGACCCCACGGGCCTCCCCTGAGCTGGGCCACCCTCTGTCCCAGGAGGATCCCAGAGAATTTCTGCCTGGGCTTGTGGTAGCAGCCTCTCCCGGTCAGGAGTCAAGCCGCTGCTACAGCCTGCTCCCTCTGTGTCCTGCCAAAGGCCTGGCACCTGCTGCTTGTCTGGCCACACGCCCCTGGACAGAGGCAGCTGTAGGTGGGGGTGAGAGCCCGCAGCTGGAACCCAGACTTGCCCAGGAGGCCGAGGCCTCTGCTGAATCCCAGCTATCCCTTCCTTCTGTCCCCTCCCCATCTCACGAAGGAGCCTCACTTCCTTCAGAGGAGGCAAGTGCTCCCCACATCCTGCCTGCCTCTCCCACACCCGCTGCTGGCAGCTGGGTGACTGTCCCTAAGCCAGCCCTTAGTCTGGACAGCTGCGGCAGTTCTCTGGGGCAGGAGGCACCCAGCAGTGACGAGGACGCTACCGAGGCTACGTCGGGAGTCTTCACCGACTTGTCCAGTGATGGCCTTCACGCTGAGAAGCCAGGCATAGTACCAGCCTTGCGCTGTCTGCAGAAGCAGGTGGGGACCCCTGATTCGCTGGACTCTCTGGACATCCCGTCCTCAGCCAGCGATGGTGGCTGTGAGGTCTTGAGCCCATTAGCTGCTTGTCCCCATGCCGGGCAGCCCCGTGCCGCAGACAGTGGCTATGATACAGAGAACTATGGGTCTCCAGAGTTTGTGCTCAAAGAGGCCCATGAGGCGAGCGAGCCTGAGGCCTTTGGGGAACTAGCCTCAGAGGGTGAGAGCCCAGGGCCCGAGACTTTGCTCTCTGTCTCCCTTGGTGGCCTCAGCAAGAAGAACCCCTACCGAGACTCTGCCTACTTCTCGGACCTGGATGCTGAGTCTGAACCCACCTTTGGCCCTGAGAAGCGCGGTGGGGTCCAGGACTCCCAAAAGGAGCAAGACCTAAAGAGCCCACCTAGTTCAGGGCATCAGTCTGGGCAGGCTTTTCCCGGGCCTGAGGTGCCCAGGGAGGCCCCAGCTACTAACCCCAGGGAGGTGCTGCCCCCACCACAGCAGCAGGAGGAGTCCTTGCCGGATGGCCCCAGGCCAGAGCCTCTTGGGGCTCAAGGCCCAGTCGAGGGGCAGCCTGGACCCAGCTCTAGTCATTCCAAACGCTTCCTGCTGGCCTCAGTCCCACTGAGCTCAGAAGGCAATGGCGTGGAGCCCCAGGACCCCCCAGGGCCAGCCCCGCTTGGGAGAATGGGAAGTCCTAGCGTGCCCAGATCCCCACTCTGTCTGGCCCTACCTGGCCGTCCAGGGGCTTTGGAGGGCCGGCCAGAGGAGGAAGAGGAGGGCAGTGAGGACAGTGATGAATCTGAAGAGGAGCTTCGATGCTACAGCATCCAGGAGCCCAGCGAGGACAGTGAGGAGGAGCCACTCGCGGTGCCTGTGGTCGTGGCTGAGAGTCAGAGCGCCCGCAATCTGCGCAGCTTGCTGAAGATGCCCAGCCTCCTGTCTGAGGCCTTCTGCGAGGACCTGGAGCGCAAGAAGAAGGCCGTGTCCTTCTTTGATGACGTCACGGTCTACCTCTTCGACCAGGTGGGCTGTTGCCGCGGGTATGCACGGGGCTGGGAGAGGGTGGGCAGCCCAAGTCACACGGTGCTCTGCCCCTCCAGGAGAGCCCCACCCGAGAGACTGGGGAGCCCTTCCCCAACACGAAGGATTCACTCCCCACGTTCCCGGAGGGTAGCCCCGGCTCACCCAGTGCCCCGGGCCTGCCGCGGCGGGCTGACCACTTGCCCGACAGCTCCACTCCTGAACAGGGTGAGCAGGTGTTGGGGGCCAGATGGTGACATCACTGTCACGCGAGGGCTGGGTTCAGAATGTGATGTCACCTGAAGTGGGGGCTGGGAGGCGATGCAGTGAAAGTAACGCTGGGACCTGACTTGCAGGCAGTAGGCTCGAATGGGATGATGAGTTCCCACTGGTGCCTGGCAAGGCTGCCTTGGTGACTGCACTGGACCCAGTGGACCCCGTCCTGGCCGCGCCCACCACGCCAGCTGCGCCCTTCTCACGGTTCACCGTGTCTCCCACGCCTGCCTCCCGCTTCTCCATCACTCACGTATCCGACTCGGAGGCCCAGTCGGTGGGAGGTGAGTGTGGCGGGGCTGAGGTGGAGCAGAGGGACATTGTGGTTGGGCATCCATAAGGGGCGTCGGCAGGGGGAGATTTGGTGGCCCCTGGTCTGCTGGACATTGCCCTCTTAACGGTGTTTGGTTTCTGGCCTTTGGGCAGACACTGTGTCCAGGTGCACTTGGCCTACGGCCTCCTAGGTCCCAGGACCTGCCCACCCTCTGCCCAGTCTACCCTCCACAGCAGGCTGCCCACCCTCTGCCCAGTCTACCTTCCACAGAGGGCTGCCCACCCTCTGCCCAGTCTACCCTCCACAGCAGGATGCCCACCCTCTGCCCAGTCTACCCTCCACAGCAGGATGCCCACCCTCTGCCCAGTCTACCCTCCACAGCAGGCTGCCCACCCTCTGCCCAGTCTACCTTCCACAGCAGGCTGCCCACCCTCTGCCCAGTCTACCCTCCACAGCAGGCTGCCCACCCTCTGCCCAGTCTACCTTCCACAGCAGGCTGCCCACCCTCTGCCCAGTCTACCTTCCACAGCAGGCTGCCCACCCTCTGCCCAGTCTACCTTCCACAGAGGGCTGCCCACCCTCTGCCCAGTCTACCTTCCACAGAGGGCTGCCCACCGCCCACCCAGTCTACCCTTGCTCTGCTCTTCTCAGCCCCACCCTGGCCTCCCACAACTTACAAGACCAATCCGAGCATGGTGGTCATTAATCCACTGGCTTACCTCTGGTTTGAGGTTCTTGCTAGGTGTCCCTATCGGGACTGTGCCCAAGTGGTGGTGCCATAGCCAACACTATCCAGTCATGAGCCCCCTCCACTTCCCGCACCAAGGCAGGCTCCTCTCTGCCAGGTTCCCCTTACCCAGTTTTGACAAGCTCTTTTTGCCAACTCCCCCTGCCCACGCATACCTCTTCCCCAGTAGTCCTGGCTGTGGTAGGCAGCCTTGAGAGAAGGACCTGTCACCCTCAGCCCTGGCACGGGGAGGTGACTACATGACACTGACCATGCTCTCTTTGTTTGGGCCTCAGTTCCCTTTGTTCAAGGACTCGGGGGGGGGGGGGCATTTGCTAAGCATCGCCGGCTCTGGATCAGGGTGACATGGGGAAGAGAAATGGGTCCATCTCCTGCCCACCCACAGGTCCACCACATTGGACAGGCCTGTTGGCGAGCCAGGCGATTGCAGGGGTGGGAGAACCTATCTGGTTACGGCCTCACGTACTCACACAGCGCCCCCTTTACCAGGCCCAGCAGCAAGCACTGGGGGCCGATGCACAGAGGCTTGAGGCCCCGGTAGTTTCGCCCTTCGGAGGCTGGCGTCACTGGAACCCCTGCCATCCTGTCCGGGCAGCAGCAAGGATGGTGACTGGAAATGAGTGGGGACCACCGACCCCCCCACAGCTTCCTGGAGAAGCAGGTGGATGAGAGGCCTCTATCTAGCTCTGGACGTGTGGGGCCGTGGTCCTCCTGTGCTACCTGATGGGAGAATGTGTCCTGAGTGGACACTGGGGTTTGCTGCTAGCCCCTGGACATACCTGAAGCCCGATGGCTTATGGGTGTCTGTAAGCATATACATGCACACTCAAGAAGGGCCCCCGACCCCTAGGTGGCTCTGCACTCCTGGGCAGGCCCCCCCATCACCTCCCTGCAGCCACTCTTCCTTATATGGCTGATGGTGGTGAATTGGCCTCCGGCCAGGACCATGCAATCCAAGGGCCTGCATGCCCTGTTGGCTACATCCTGCCTCGTGTTCAAAGGACACTTGGCCAGGTTTCAAGGCTTTAAGCCTATAGGTCCCTTTTGGGTCCCCCACATTTCTTACTTGGGTCTAGATTTGCTCAGAGCAAGGTCGGACCCCTGGGCTCCAAGCCCTTATCTCAGAGTCTGTGGCTGGCTCCCCTTCACTTTGTCTGCAGAAGCCCATCCCGATAGGGGCCTAGGTCCTGCTGCTTAGCAGAGGCTTCCAGGCTGCAGCCGGACGGCCCCAGAGATGCCCTCTACAGGGTAGTGTGGGCACTCTCCCTCACAGAGCGGAACCCTGCCCCATACCCTGGCCAGAGAATAGGGTGTACCCTACAGCCACTGTGGGGCTCCTGCCTGCAGGCAGGGCTGGGAGAAAACAGGGCTGGGGTGGGCTGCACAGGGAATATTTTTTGTAATTTGCTGGAGTGAATGGAGACGGGGTGATTCTAAGTTATTGTTGCCAAAGACCTGTAAAGTGTATTGTCGCTTTGGGGGCGGGGCAATGGGTTTTGTTTTTGTTGTTTTTAGTTTGAGGCTTAGGATGCTGGTGCAATGATTTTCTTGTTCCTTGTTTTTTAAGAGAAACCAAGCTAAGAAAAAAAAAAAACAGCCTTTGTGCTCGGTGTTTTCTTTCTGGGTCTGTAGCTAACACCCCCAGGGGGATGGCAGACTGGGAACCCAGCAGTCATCTCTGTTCTTCTGCCCCTCAGCCCTCTCCTGTCCCTCCAGAAGGTTCTCTTAGGTCAGATGAAAGGGCACCTTGCAGAGTAGTCCTCTGCCCACCCTAGCCTGTCCTCAGGCGGCAGTGGTGGAGGGGGGCAGGGGACTGGACTCCCCGCTCTTCGCTTTGCCCTGTGGGGGAACTAGCCCATGTGCCCATGGTGAGCAGGCGGCTCCAGAGGTTCCGCCTGGGTCTTCTCTGCACCCTAGAGCTCCTGCCATGGACTCAGTTCACCGCACTGCTCCAGACAAAGATCTGATGTGGTCTCATAAGGGCCTGCGTTTTAACTGAAGCGGGGAGGCAGAGGGGAGCTGGGCTCGGCCTGGCTCGCCTCTAGTGCAACAGCACAGCTATGCTCATGATAAATCACCCTTATAAGGGTGCAGGTGTGCCCCGCCCTGTTCCTGGCCATGCTCCCAGGCTAAGAGAACACACCGCAACAGGTGGGTACATGTTTATTGGCCGGACACACATGTGGGCTAAAAAATTAAAAATAAAAAAAAAATTCAGCATGGGAGTGGGCCCCCTTCCAGCTACGGGCTGACAGACTGTCCTCTTCTGCATCTGGAGGCACTCGAGGTTCCACAGTGGGGTCATAGATGCCTGCCATTTAAGTGCTGGCCCTCTGTTGGGGCACATCCATGGACTTGACCTCCTGAGGCAGCCTCCTCCCCAGGAACACCTGGGATCCAGCCCAGGCTGGGCTGACGTGAAGCACTGTCAGGGAGTGGGGCAGGGCTGTCTTCTCCGGTTGCCCTGGGTGGCGTGGGTGGTGGACGCAGCGGTGACAAGTAGCAGCCCGTCAGCTGAGCAGAGGGGCTGATCTGTCGTTGGTCACTGTCGGCTTCAGATGGACGTTGGCGAAGGGATTCCTGGGGAGAGAAGAGCAGGTTCAGTTTGGACAGGCGCTTCGGCTAAGCTGTGCCACCAAGCTACTCCTGAGACCCCCAGTACTAGACCCCAACGGCTTATTCTTGGAGCCAGGCGGAGCTGGGTGCCGTCTCAAGACCTGTTAGCCCCTAGCGTGACTACCCACTGACACCTTACACGCTCCACGCTGGGTGGCAGAGTGGGCACGATGGTGAGGACCAGCTGTTCCCTTCCCACCTCGGGCTGGAAGTCCTTAAGGAAGTAAGCCCCCACCCCCAGGCCGAGCCCAAGGAGTGGTTCTCCCGTGCACAGAGGACACAGCTCAGCGGGTCACACAAACCAGCCCAGGCATGCAGGGCGCCGCAGGAGGCACACTGTAGACACGCAGACACGACAGACACAAGGCGCACGCGCCCTGACTCCACAGGCTGCGGATGGACACCACGGCCACTGCCTTGGCCAGGTGGCAGTTTCCTCTGCCGAGGGACTAGCCACCTCCCTGAGTGGTGGCTGAGCCACCTGAGTGCCCCTCAGGCCACAGCTGATACACGGGGACAAGACTCAAGACAAGTAGTGGGAATGGAACAGATGAGCAAGAATGGGCCTCCCAGAAGCCTGTCCTGCAGTCCCTGTCAGGCCTGGGAGGACCCGCTCAGGTGGGAACAGGGCAGGGCAGTAGGTGGGAGGGGTCAGGAAGCTCCACAGTGACAGCACGGATGGCGTGTGAACACGGGGACTCGCGAGGCACAGGACTGCACTTCCAGGGAAGCGTGCTTGGCTCTACAACCATTACCTGGAATGTCACCTCTGTGCCTGGTGGGGTCTCAGAAGCCCAGGGTGGGCGAGCAGGCTCTCCATTCAGGGTCCCCAGGAAGACCTCATAGGTAGAGTCTCGCCCTACATTTTCCTGAAGATTACATTTTCTACAGATCTGAAACACTCGAGCTGTGAAGGTTTGAAAGGTGGAGCCCGGGGGTGGGGGTGGGCCGGCAGGTCCCTGCTGGCTGTGGGCTCTGTTGCTGCTCACCTCTGCCGAGAGCCAGAGGTTAGGGGCCACCATCTGCTCTGCCTGCAGCTTGAGGTCCGCCCCACGCCAGGCTCCTCTACTCTGCATCCCCTCCCTGTGAGACCGGACCCTGCCATCGTGGGGAGGGTGCTAGCTGCAGGCTCCGGCATGGCCAGGCTGTCCCTGCCTCACTCCACACTCTACAGAAGGGTTCTCAAGCCGGGCAAAGGCAACAGCTCTGGGGAGACTTGGAATGAGGACAGGTCTTTCTGTTGAGGGGATGGGACAGAGCAGAGCAATGAGCAGGTCCCAGGGCAGGGTTATCGTGGGACCAAGCCTGAGCAGAATGGCTGAGGTATTCACAAAACACGCCCGACGACTGCCCACTGGCTCACATCCTAACTCATGGAAAGAGTCATCACCAGCTAGGACCAGAGAGGAAGTCCAGACCCAGAGTGTCCCACCCAAAAGGCTCTCTGTTCTTAAACACTTTATTCTCTCCTCCCCCAAAGCCACAGGGGCAGTTCAGAGCACAGAGAACCATCCAGAGACGCCAAAAGCCAAGGCAAAGTCTTACTCTGCATATGTTCTAGTTAGCAGTGTCCAGGGGCACACTTCCTTTCAAGGGAAATTAACCTGCAGGGGACATGGCCAGCACATGGGATGCCCAGCAGTGGCTATCGCCAACAGTGGGAGGACCCGACAACAGAGCCTACACCAATAGAAAAGGAGGACCAGGCATCCAGGCCTGGGATCCGGGAACGACAAATGGCATTTATGCAGGATGGAACCGGCTGAGGCAGAATGGTGAGACACCAGCTGGGTAACCACTGGTGCCAGCTCTCTCCCCAGCTCTGCAGACAGCCATCCATGAACAACACACTGTGATCAGAAACCTAGAGAGACTCGACTCCCTGCATCAGCACAGCCTGCCTTCCCCTTCTCTGTTTTTCACGATTTTCCTCAACAACCATGGGATGAGAGGCTGGCTGCCGCCAAGAACAGTCCTGCGCATACCTGTGGGCTTACGTAGGACTGGGTACCCCCAGAACCAGGCCAAGGGTGGTAGCAACCCTCCTACAGTCCTAAATTCAGGGTGAGGCTATGTGTGGACGGACACCCCTCACCTCAACCACAGGTAGCTTCAGAATACCCCTTCCCCCCGGCTAGGTACGCTGGAAGGCTAGGGGACTGTGGCCGGGGAATGTCCCGGGGCCATGTGACAGCACTGTGCAGAGACTCCAGATCCATTCTGTTCTATGTCTATTGCACCCAAGTCCCAGGCCTAGTGCACACGGGACCCGGTCCCAGGAAGAGCTGCTCCAGTCTCCCTGAACCTTTCCCCATGCCGCTGCAGGTGAGGACAACATGGCCCCTAACTGGGCAGGAGATGCAGGCCTCCCAGAGAACATCTTGGGTGTGCAGTTAGAGGCAGGAGGAAGTGGCCAACCCAGAGTCAGTCAAGGGCATCTCACGCTCTCTGCAAATGTCAGCGGAACTCAACTACAGAACGCACTCTACACAGATTCCCATCTGCCCGAGTGGCCTGGCTGCCACTGTGACTCTCAGGGAGGTAATGACCACTCCTGTTAAGGGACACAGGTCCCGGCTTCTCATGCCGCCTGTCTGTGGTGTGGTGAGGGAGTAAAAGCTCCCTCCGCCGTGGTGAGCAACGTGGAGCAGTGCCCTCCTCCCTGCCCCAAGTGGCCCACGTTGGCCCTTCTCCAGCACCAAGGGACACAGGCGGCCTGGCCAGTGTCTTGTGGCCATGTGAGGAGACGGAGGGAACCAGAAGAGGTAAGAAAGATCAGAAGGCAGAGGTCCACATGACCCTAGGCCCGGGCTTGGTTCAGCTGTGGCACTCAACAGTTGGACTCATACCCACCCCCCACAACGCTCCAGGAACACCCAGGTACAAGCTCAGTGACTGGGGGAGGCTGTCCCCCAGGCCACCCTTTGATTGTGACGAAGCACCTAGCAGGGAAGGAGAGGATAGACATGGGCCAGCTCCGTCTCGGGCAGCGAAGGCAGTCACGGGGCAGAGTTAGAACCACAAGCCTCCAGGCAGAAGGAAGGTAGGGGAACCACAAGCCCGAGGAGGGAACCAGCGGAAGGAAGGCCCAGCTCCCAGAGCGAGACAACTCTGCAGACCCCGGGGCCCTGCCAGGCAGCAGATTCCCCCTGCAGAGGCTGTCCTGATTCAGGCCAGAGGGTCCAGCCATAGCCGCTGCAGGTGTAGACAGATGGGCCCAAAACCAGGTCAACTTACTAACTCTAGTCAGGGGCAGCTCAAAATCTGGCCACTTCGACATCAACACTGTAAGGAAACACAAGGCTTATTGTCAAACTGGAGCAGCGGACGTGTGTCTAAGGACCCTGGGAAGCAGAAGGCCAGACAGGACAGACACTGGGTGGAGGAGGTGCAGGCTGCCAGGAAGGGACCTGCAGTCCTTGGGGACACAACTCCACCTGCTGGGCAGAGCAGGGGAGGGGCTCAGGAGTGAGCCAGCACAGGCTGAGTCTGCACCAGCCAGGGTGCCATCGAGCCGGCCAGCTGGGGTGCACTGAGGTGCGGCCTGGTCCACGCAGCCCCCACACATGCCGGGGAGCTGGAAGGAGGCACCTGACCAACTCAGTGCAATAAATAAAACCTTTATTCCAACAGTTGACTGCAGTACAGGGCACAGTTCGGATTTTTAAAAAAAAGGAAAGGAAAAAGGAAAAAAAATATTTTTTAGCACTTGACATCTTCATACAGGTTTGCTGTTTGTGTCTACATTCATCCATTGCACATGGAATCCCCTGGATTGGAAACTTTTAGCAAAATTAGAACAACACAGAAAGTTCTTTACACAGGTCCAAGTTCTGGCTGTGTTTTCCTTAAATATAAAACAGGGTCTGTGTCTGAGCTGCTGCGGCAGACTCGAGCAGCCACGCCCTAGTCCTCGGCAGGCTTGTGGAAGGGTTTTGCTAACCACATCAGAGGCGCGTCTGCAGCTTCCCAAGGGCTCCTGCCAGGTGC